TGTATGACCGCTGGCAACGTGTGGTTGCTAGTGGAGGTCATTACATTCAATAAAAGCTATTATCGATCTTCTACGACTTAACAGTGTCTGAGTTGCACGGACTTTTCGGACAACCTATTATATCTAAAGATCATTTAGTCCTATTTGAAAATCTTGTAAAAATCAGTTTCCCGGAAAACGCTATAACGCATCAAATCAATAAACTTTTCGTTTTCTTTCACGAATGATATCATACTTCGACTAATTCATATTCGAACGAAATTTATCTATTTGAACCTTTTTTTAGATATTCTCATGCAACAAAAAACGTGTGATTCCACAAACAACATAAATGAAATGATTTAGTGGTAAAATGTCGACAGAAAAACGTCGACAGGCATAATGTCGACAATAAAACGTCGACAAGCATAATTTCGACAAGTACAAATGTCGTATTATATAATTATCGAAAGAGACTATAAAAGTGGAGAGTGTTTTAAGCTTTTATTGCGAACATTCTTCGCGTTTCTTTTAGTCTGTTTTGTACATGTGACCCTAGATATAGACACGAATACTATGTTTCTTTCTGACTGAAGAAATCGATTCTCTTCTTTAACAACTCTTTTGTACGTTCGCCCTATAAATAAGTCCGACATATCATTCTATTTCATTCACTGGTAAATTTATTACTTTTACACGTCCACCATGTCGACCACATCCATTCTCACTTTTTCAATCAGTAACAAGGGCAAACCAATCTTGATTTGTGATGGATATATCTATCAATTAAATCGAACTCGACCAAAAGTAAAATACTGGGGTTGCAAGAATCGAATGTGTTCGGCTTACATGCACACCGACCATCACAATCAATTTATTGGAAAATCAGGAAATCATGATTCTCATTTGCCGGTACCTGAAAGTATTGAAGTTGTCACCTTCAAGGAAAAAGTTAAAAATCGAGTCGTGAACGAAATGACTGCTATTGGAAAAATTTACGACAATGAACTAGCTGCTGGTAATCTCAGCGAAGCTGCTCTTGGTTTGGCTCCTTTAGGTAATGAAGCAAGTAAGTATTTATATCTTCCTCAATTCTTATATATATGTTTGTATTTCAGAATCAGCTCTTAATCGTCTTCGACGAAAAACGACACCACCATTACCGAAATCTGCTTTTTTCGATGTTCCCGATGCGTATTCATCGACAATTGATGGTGTTTCATTTCTCTTTAGCGATACACTTATTCGCAAAAAGAGGATGATCTTGTTCGCCAGTGATGAACAACTACGTATGTTATTTGCAGCAACACATATCATGGTTGATGGAACGTTTTCGGCATGTGTGCCTCTTTTTGATCAAGTGTTTTCTATTCACTGTATCAAGTATGGCTACAGTAAGATACATTTCTATTTTCCAAAATTCGATGTTATTAACAACGGATTTTCTTAGATTTTCCATGTGTTATTGGTTTATTACCCGGTCGAAGTGCTCCAGTATACAAATATGTATTTAATCTTCTGGACGAAGCTGCTCGTCGACTTAATCTCACGTTTCAACCTAAAAACATCATGAGCGATTACGAAAAGGCTCTTATCAAGGTGATTGCATCACATGTATGTGTTTCTTTTTGTACCCATTTGGTCTTGGTATATCTTTACTATTTTTAGTTTCCAGCCGCGCAACATTCTGGATGTTACTTTCACTATTCAGTGTTTATACCGTCGAATTCAGTCACTCGGCTTGGGGACATTATACAACAGTAATGATGAAATTCGTTCTTTATGTCGACATCTAATGGCATTACCATTACTTCCTGAACAACACGTTCAATCGGCTTTCGACGAGCTCAATGAAAAAATACCGGCTGAACTCGAACCCCTTTTTGAGTACTTCGACGATTGGTGGATGAAACAAGTTCCAATCCGTCTTTGGAATGTATCTAATCTCAAAGCAAGAACCAACAACAATGTTGAGTGTATGTATTGATGAATCTTTGCCTATTTCTCACATCTCTTTAATTCCTCTATAGCATGGCATAGCCGATTCAACAAGAGAATTGAAAGAAAACATCCCAATGTTTGGGCCTCCATCAATGTCGTGAAAAAAGAAGAAGTTCATTTTAAACATCAGCTGGTTCACGCTAATTCGGGCAAGTTGAAGAAAATTTCACAAAAAACTTGCGTGATGCAAGATAAGCTCGATCAATTAAAAAAACGTTATGGTGCAAATCAAATTCAATTGGTTGAATACCACCATCAATTGTCTTTATTAGTTGGTACGAAGTCAGCATAATCTCGGAAGTGTATACAGTGATGTATCAGATATGATTTTTCTCAATGTTTTTCCTATTCACATGTGTCTTTCATCAACATAATCGATTGCAATGTATCAGTTAAAACTACTTTAATTAAAAATAAAATTTTTAACAATTCAACTCTCATATTTTTTCAAATATCGACATTTTTCACTTTCGGCCTTTTACATTGTCGACATTCTATGGTGTCGACATTCTATATTGTCGACATTTTTAATGTCGATATAATTTTTTCGTCGACACTTGTGCTTTCGACGTTTTTCTGTCGACATTTTTCCGTCGACATTTTGCTACTTTCCCAAATGAAACACTATCAAGATCTTCTGTCAATAATTCTTCTAGCAATGCGGAAACTTTTCATGATTGTAAGCGAATAGTTAGATCATTATCCTTGTTTATCCTCTTTTTTTTAACATAATTATATAGTATCGAATTTCTCAATGTCCAGTCAGTCATTGATATCATTGAATACAACATCTTCACACAATCAAACTAATACTATGTCACTTTTACCGATTATGACTTCTACAAGACTTATCTGGAACGTTTCACAAAGTAACTCTTCAAGTGTCTATTAACTGGAAGAATTTTTTTGTCTTCATGTCAGATTTGTCCGACGACAACACAGATGACACCGAATCAATCACCACTATCAAAGAAAACGATAATAATACCTTACCCCTCACACAACATTCATCGACAGTTTCAAACGTTCAAATAACACAGAATAAAACCAATTTGAATTCTATGTTGCCACAAACATTGGACTCATTTCATCCAACAAGTATGAAACATTCTTAGCACGGAATAATTTTCCATTGATTTGGATAAGTTTTTAAACTCTATGACATTCTGTGTTCATATAGCGTTACCTATGACGGTTAAGAATGAGTCATCAGACGCATCTATTGCAGAAACATGCTTATTAGCAACTACTCATATTCCTTCGTCATCATCAACAGTTGTTCGTGATACTCAAAAAGTAAAATTTTTTTAATATTTCTTTATCATTACCGACACAACTAACTCAAAGAAATATCGTTTTCTCTTTTTAAATACGTTCTTTTGAGTATCTGCCGAATGATATTTCGAAATGTGTTGTTCATCTTACCCATTTTATTATCATACTTCATAGAAATCTCTTGGTTTGTTCCAGTGCAGATTCATTATTTCAGGATACATCTTTAACAATGTTGACAGAAAATTCGGATAACTATTCCGATAATCAACAAGTCAATGATAAAAACGATATGAAAAGAACAGATTCAATACACAGAGATAATTTATATGATGATGATTCAAATATTAAAAAATTGATTGATAATATTCAAAATCTATTATATTTACTCTTCTTTGAGCTTTCATGGTTATGTTTCGGGATAGTATAACTAGTTACGATGAAAGAAAATGTATTTTACATATCCAAATGCTACCTTATCGCATTGTTCGATTGTCTCGCTACTTAATTAGTATAGTCTAATAGAATTTACCATTTTCAGATCAATCTGATTCAGTAACTGCTTCGACGGCAAACTCTACTATGAGAAAATCCAACAAACGTATCGAAAACCAAAGGAAACGGAATACTTGTCCTGATGGACAAAACAAAAATAAAAGAAAATCATCAACCAAACGAACAAAAAAGTCACCATGAATAACTGATCTTTCGATAAAAAAAAACAAAAAAATTCCTCTACTCCATGTGTCGTATCGATGATATCCAGTAAAAAGCAATAGTTAAAGTTGTTTCTTATTGAATAAAACATCAATTTTCTATTTAAAAAAACCGGATTCTTTCATATAAATAGATCAATCAATCAACTCAAGGAAAATTCTCACAAATTGAACAAAAACCTTTACATCTTTAATCTAATCGTTTTGTTTTCTTTTCATGCGTTCCAACTAATTGTTGACTGAAACTGTAACTTGCCATATCAATAGGAATTTATTAGTTCGTTTGTCTGTAGAATCCCAATCGAAAAAAAAATACTTAGAGAATTCCAATATCCAAAAACTCATATCTATTTTATAAATAAAAAAAGCTGATTTTATTTTCGAAAATCAATGTCCCGCGTGTCCCTCTACTGAATAAAAACAGGCTAATTTTTTTTCGATAAATTGATTTTTTTCAAATTTCAATGTCTCGTATGTCCCTACACGAATAAATAAATATATCATAGTTTGTTTATAAACCATCGTAACTTTCTTCACTCTCTCGAATGATCGTTTATAAAAATAAACTGAAACTACCAATTAAGAAAATTTTTGGTCTTCATATTTTGTATCATTCTTCATAATCTACATAAAAATTTATATTCTGCAGATAGAAAATTATAGATTCTACAGCCATCGATTATATATTCTTACGCATATGAATCTTTCATATCACAAGTAACGCTCGTCTAGCGACTCGCTCAGCTCTTTCTCGTAGAAATCGCGCTTTCAGATATTACACTTTAAAGCTATTATTGTGTATATTAATTCATTTTTAGTGTAGATTAGATATTTTCACAAAAGCAGCAATAGATATTTATACCAAATGTTAAATAGAGCATTAGATATTGTGAAGAAATATCAATACAGTTAGGAAGATTATGGATGATTACATCAAAAAACGAAATTAAGAAAACACGATAGGGAATATATGATGANAAGACTAACAGCAATGCTTGAGAGATTCTGAGGAAAAGTAATGCAGTTTCCTTTGAGGGCCGGCTGAGCTGTATTGGCTGAGTGCCATGGAGAATGTAGTTTAATGATACAACTGTTGTGTCGATAAAGAGAAATCAACTTCTGCTCAGGAATCGTGAGTCCTTTCAATTGATCGGGTACATCGCCTATCCACATGCCATTAGCAGGCGAAAATTTTGAAATTTTTCCCTTTGAGATAGCTAACCAACATGGATGACACATCCGACAAGCGACATTCGATTGACTTCCTTGTGTTAATAAACCTTCACGGTATAATAGTCGGTTATTTGAAATAATGTAACTAGAACTGTTTGCATTTGGTATTGCTTGATCTGCTGAAGAAAATCAATCTTTAAAAAAATATTATATCCGTCTAGAACCCACCTGTATTGTCTGCAAAGTTTTTTTGTCGATTGAAATCTATGCGTTGACAATGTGCTGATGAAGCAGCAAAAATATTCTGAAGACTACTATGAGGCAGGAGAAGACTATTATTAATATCAGACAACAACATATTATGCATCGTTTTTTCATTATATCTAGCATTGCACGTGACACACACTTGCTCCCGAAGACTGTCCATTGACATCTTTTTGTTAAAATTACTGAGACATTGCTCTTTAACTTTTTGAGGTATAGCAGCTGGCCAAATTTTTGTAGGTGGATTATTTCTTGCCTCCATCACACGTTTTGCACGACCTCGACTAATACTTCTAATGCGCGCCGTTCTCTCTTCAGTCGTTTCGTTGTCTCTGCGGATGCTATCGATCACCTGCTGTTGATCCAGTTGTGATCGATGTTCCTCAGCTGTTTCATTATCCCTCCGAGCGATATCGATCACTTGTTGTTGATCGAGTCGAGCTCGATGTTGTTCAGCTGTTTCGTTATTTCTTCGTGTCGTGTCAATCATTTGCTGTTGTTCAAGTCGAGCTCGATGTTGTTCATCTGTTTCGTTATTTCTTCCAGTCGTAGCATACACTTTTTGTTTGTCGAGTCGAGATCGATGTTGTTCATTTGTTTCATTATTTCTTCCAGTCGTAGCATACACTTTTTGTTTGTCGAGTCGAGATCGATGTTGTTCAGGTGTCTCGTTACTTCGACGTGTCTCGTCAATTATTTGCTGTTTATTTAAGCGATCCAATGATGCATTACTACTCTCCAGACTCCGCTTTCTGCGAGCGTTGAGGCGCATTTTTTCGTTTCGTTTCTCTCTTTCCTCTTCAGTTTCAATGGCTCGTTGAAGCCTTTTTCTCTCTGCGTCTTTTTCTTTTCTTGTAGCGGTGGAGGAAGACCTTGTACTCGTTGGAATTTCTCTTCGATTCGATGGCGGCGTAAATTCGGGCATTCGTACGGACGTTTCTTCATTATTCTTTGTGGTAAGTTTTTCAGGGGTCTGAATTTGTATCAATAGATTATTCAAAATTTCGCGAAAGATATTTACCTTTTGTTCCTTAGTACTCATAGCTTTAGTTTAAGCCTATTAAACTTTCACAAGTAGAAATTAAATATCAAAATCTAAAATTTCAAAAATTAGAATTATAGACATTGACACTTGTTTACGATGTATATAATAATGCGTGATTGTACTACGAAAAAATTTACTTAACTCATTTATGCTCTGATTCATCTAGCTAAGAAGCAGTACAATGGAACATTTTGAAGGTAGCGCCAGTTTCAGTGTGTAGAATATATATAAGAAAGAAATCTCGTAAATAGGCCAACGTCCACAACGGACCAATAGGACCTATGCTCGCTAATAAATTTATAGCTGAACGGTTGATAATCCACTGACAAATTACACAAATTTTAATATATTAAACGACAAAGAGGCGGAAGCAGAAGGAGGATGACGTAGTTGAGTAGATCGGAGAGAATAACGACAATCGACGAAAATAAAAGTAGGGTCACCCCATCGAATATATCGTACAAAACAACAACGAGGTCACATAATAAGAAGGTTGTTGTAATATGACGATTGTACCGTAAAGAAAAACGTTGCTGTTGTAAATTTGTCGAGTAGTTGCGTTGGGTGACTTACCGTATAAATTCGCCAATTGCTTGCACGCTTATAAGAAGCAATTTTTCTTGAGAATATGTAGCGCACGAGCTCTACTCTGTCTTAACACATTCTACCATACGCTTTACTGGACATGGGCCAATTAGAACCCGGCGGCGCTAGTATCTACAACAGAAAGTATTGATTGTCGCGCCACCACACACCAATTATTCTACTGCACGTCTTTACACATTACTCTTCGCAGTCGAATGTAGCCTTGTCGGTAATGCTTTTGATCACACAATATATGAACAGTAGCTACGCTAGTTCAAAATCCGTGTGCGAAAGGTAATTATTAATTATTACACAACGAGACATTGAACAGAATATTTTATTCATCATACTTATACACTTGACTATACCCGGTATCATACAAGTTATAAATGTTTTTCTGAAAATCGGTATCCTTGGTTGAAAAATTTTTTTTTAATTCTCAAAAAAGTAACGTCAGATTTGTCCTCTCCGATCCGCAAATGTCTTCGGTAAATTTTTATAAAAAAACTGTTTTTGACAAAAAAGTCGTCCTTTGTATAAAAAAGCTAATCAATGTAAACATTTCAAAGGAATAACACCAGATTCGAGTTCATCGACCCAAATAACTCCTTAGTGTAATTTTATAAAAAAGCTTTTTTTTGTAAAAAACGGCTCTTTGTCTCAAAAAAACTTTTTTCCAAAAAATTTCGAGAAACTAACATCAGATTTTTATTCCGTGACCTGAAAAACCGTTTGGTAAAATTTTATAAAAAAAAATTTTTTTCTAAAAAATTCCTAAAAAATAACATCAGACTCGAACTCTCCGCGTTGAAATACATCTGGAAATGCCTTTTCGGAAAAATCGATTTTCAATGTTTTTTTGACCCTGCGGACATACAAGCAAGCAAGCAAACAATTTACGTTTCTAAGACTCTCCTCTACGAGAAAGAGAATATTCATTTGAAAAAGGAAAAAATTTCAAAGCTATTTTATTATAAAACTCATGCACTTTCCCGCTTAATATACTGTATGATCTTGTAACACGTTGATCTCAGCCATTTCGACTTTAAAAAGGAAACCAAAATAGGGTTTTGTAGAGCCAAGTTTGGTCTAGAAGATGTGCTGGGGCTGATCCTTCCAGAATTTAACCATTTTTCACAGCACTAGTAAACTTTTTTACTAGTAAACTAGAAACCTGGTAGTAAAAACGAAGGTCGAAAATTTTAACATAGCCTGTCTTGTAGAGTTCGTCGAGCTGATCATTTTGATAAAAAAGCTTTTGAAAATTGACCCATTCTAGAAGATGTTAGAGCCCAAATACTGAAAAACTAGGTAAAAAAATGACAAATGATTTTTCACGATTTTTATCTTATTTTGGCTATAAAATAAGTAAAAACTGACCTACAGGGAAAACTTTTTTTACAAAAATGTTCACCATGAAAAGCTCTACAGAACCAAGTATGAAAGAAAAGAATTCAGGACCTGTGTTTTTGTGGTTGACTATCCATGGAAGGACCCTTATACATAACCAATTTCTCTTTTCTATTCATTCCTGACGATGATAGAAGTGTCTATCGAAAGCTCGAAACTTTAATAAAATTTCGTTGAAATGTTTTTCGTAGGAGTGTTGTACTCTTTATTTTCTAGTTTTCGAACCACTGCCATTCCAAACAACTTTATCCAAAGTTCTGCTCGTCTAGTCACTTTTTCCGTAGGAAGAAGTGATTCGATCGAGCTCAACGTTTTATCTGGTACTTACCTCACTACTACCTATAACATATGAAAAAATCAGCGAAATCTGAGCCATCGAACTTTCACTACAATCTGACTTTCTCAGAAAGCTGCTCTTAAACACAGTATCGTGTCTTTAGGAGGTCTGGTATCTTTCAGAGTTTTGAGAAGCCCTCTTATCTGAGGATCCACGAGCTCCAGTCAAGCGGCGCTGATAGTTACGTGCCCTTCGTATGATGCGTTTCACTTTTTTTTTAGAGTATGTGAAAAGTAATTCTGCAATACCCAGTCGTGAAACCTAAGGCAAGCGTTTTTGAATTCATTGATGAGTCGCCTTTTTTTACATTATCAAATGTATCGTCGAACACACGTCTTTCTTTTAATAATTTCCACTGTTTCTATACTCAGTCTGGTTACACTTATAGTTTTTCACGAAAATCAGCCTCAGCGCCCCCAACCGTCACGAACATGCTTGAAGTCTGCGAATACTGAGGCACTTTTCAAAGTACCTTTCTTTCCTATGATGGTGCACACCGGAAATCCGTCAAAAATTTATCATTGGGTTAGGAATAAAACTGGTCTCGAGATTGGTGGTCCATCGCCCGCAACCTGGGGTGTCTTGGGTATATACGAAGCTGCAGCTATATTAGACGTAACGAACTTTGCCGCCACTACTCTTTGGGAGAAGGAACTACGGCATAATTCACCGTTCATGTGGAACAATCGGCGGAAAGGAACACAGTACATACGAGATGCCGTAGACTTAAAAGGCATTCCTAATAACACCTACGATTTTGTGATCGGCTCTCATGTTTTAGAACATATTGCTAACCCTTTTAAAGCGTTTTTAGAATGGCTCAGAATTCTAAAAGATGGGGGTCTGCTACTTCTCATATTACCTCTGAAAGAAAGAACGTTTGACCATAACCGTGCTGTTGCTAGCATACAACATCTTATTCATGATTACCACAAGCAGGTAGACGAATCGGACCTGTCGCATATGGATGAGATCATTCGCTTGCATGACTTAGCAATGGACCCTCCAGCAGGGAACATAGAGTTTTTTACAAACCGCTCAAGAAATAATTTTCGGAATCGTGGTTTACATCAGCATGTATATGACCAACAGCTTCTATATTATATGTTTATCTGTGTAAATATTAACGTCAAGTATCAGATCACATGGGAATCCCATCAACTGATAGTTGGTCAAAAGCACTTTTAACATTTTCTCATCAAAGTGCAATAGCTCACGATATAAAAATACTGTGACATATTCACGATTATTTTTCAAGCAACGAACCATAGTAGAAGTCTGTTGAATGATCTATCCCTGTACTGTTTATTTCTAAAGGTAAACTCTCGAAAGGTTTATGGTTAGCTGATAAAGCTATCGTAGGTGTATTCAACATAGGGTTTATCAACTATAGGGCATGTGAACATCCAACGGGTATATTACAGTTATGAATGCGTTTTCAAGAACTTATTTCAGCGTAAGTGATTGCTGTTAGACGATTGATCATATATCGTCCTCCTATGTCGAGCCGACGGTATATCGTGAAGTAGTTTGATATTTATCGTTTTGATTTTACTGCAAAAGGATTTCGATATATCCAGGAGAAATCGCCGGCTCCATATAGAAGACCGTCCAAATTTGATGAAACTCAGGGTTTGTAGAATTTTTTCTGCTGATAATTTTCCTAAAAAAGCGTTTTTCGACTAGATTTTCTTTGCATAGACATTGTCAAAATAATATCGATGATTCACTGTTTTTTTTTGTTTTCTGCGAAAATCATTGGTTGCCGAGTTACAGAAAACTGATGAAACTGCGTCAAAAATTGTTCGACATATTGATCCAATGGCATATTCTAATTCGTCGTGACAAGCTGCATCTACACATGTGCAAATCGAAAACAAAAGTTCTTTTTTTCTGGTACTCTAAGAGCCACATTGTTAGGCGGAATTCATTATAGATGTTTGGAAATCTTGATCGCAAAAATGAGATAATCAAGATTTACCATATAGGCAGTTTTGTAGAACAAAACTTGCTCTACAAGATGTACTTATCCATCGCTTCCCCAGCCATTGTTCTATAGGGCAAAAATCAAAAAAGTACGTTAAAAAACATTTCGAAAGCATATTTTGATACGTATAATCGTAAAATGTCAACAAATCGTTTTAAAAGTCAGATGAGAATGACTGTAGCCGCTGAGGCTTTATAAAGGTTGTTACTTTAGTGAGTTTTATGCGAGAAATCTACATGATTGATGTGCGCTTTGGTGGTAGCTGGACCAAAATAACACGACTATTTGATCAAACATTTCAATTGTGAAGTTCTGCTGCTAGAAAGTTAGTCAGTACTCATCAGCTTTGTTAGATAGGTTTATAACAGAGTAACTAATTGTATCACAATGTTTTACTTTAGGATAACTAGATTCATCTTAAAAAAACGATAAAGAAAAATTAAAAATAATAATTGGAAATCGTTCCAACTTTCTTTAAAGCCTTTTCAATATCGATAAACTGTTATGGACTAATTTGAAGATCACCATTGGTTAAACGTACTGGATTTTCAGTGAAAGATGGTTTGATCTGTTTAGCTGAAATTATCAGATTGCATAAATGTGGATACTTCAAGTAACTGAATGCCGAAGCGGGTATACACTGAAAAAAATAACAGCAGAATAGAAAACCCTAAAAGGGTACTTGAAACTGCAACGAATAATGAACCCTTCAAAGCGTATCGTAGCGCCTCCCAAACCCCCTTGAATACCTATCAAAATCCAATTTTTAACCGTACATTAGGACAAAAAACCCCCTCGAAAGANATATTTTAGTAGAAAGTCATCTCACCGAACCACATTAGCAGTTAGGTAGTTCAGAAATGGCGAATCATGATGTTAGCTCATAATATAGGGACATCAGCGAAAGAGAACGAAAGAGAGAAGAATCGAGAAAAAGTGACCTTCGTGGGACTCGAACCCACACCTTCTGCTATCCGGGCAGATGTCCTAATCCAGTTAGACTAGAAGGACCATCTTAATCTCTACACTGAAAAAAATAACAGCAGAATAGAAAACCCTAAAAGGGTACTTGAAACTGCAACGAATAATGAACCCTTCAAAGCGTATCGTAGCGCTTCCCAAACCCCTTTGAATACCTATCAAAATCCAATTTTTAACCGTACATTAGAACAAAAAACCCTCTCGAAAGGTTTTTGCTATCGTTTATGGAAACTTATTTTCGTTCTAAAACCCGTTTTTCTACCGTTTCAGAGAGGGTATTAATGTACAAACTACCCTAAAAGGGTTCATTATTCGTTGCACTTTCAAAAACGAATTAACCATATTTGAGTTCCATATGATACCAAAAAACTACTGCTGAATACTAGACCAACGGTATTTCATAATTCTCATCATATCCACACATATGGATAAAAGGGTTTTGTCAGACACTTATGGATCATCTGTGCTGCATGAGGGTTATACCATCTGCTCTTAAGAGGGCTATCAACCCTTTAAACGTTTCTGATATTCTGCTTGTCGACCATCTATACCCGCGAAGCGTATTTGAAATTCCATTTGTCGATGATCTATACCCACCAGGGGTATTTGAAATTCCACTTGCCGATGACCGGTACCCACAAGGAGTATTGGAAGTTCCATTTGTCGATCATCTGTACCCACCAGGGGTATTTGAAATTGCACTTGCCGATGATCAATACCCACAAGGAGTATTTAAAGTTCCATTTGTCGATCATCTATACCCACCAGGGGTATTTGAAATTCCACTTGCCGATCATCTATATCCGCCAGGGGTATTTGAAGTTCCATTTGTCGATCATCTATACCCACCAGGGGTATTTGAAATTGCTCTTGCCGATGATCAATACCCACAAGGGGTATTTGAAGTTCCATTTGTCGATCATATATACCCGCCAGGAGTATTGGAAGTTCCACTTGCCGATGATCTATACCCACCAGGGGTATTTGAAGTTTCATTTGATGAACTGCTATAATCACAAAGAATGCTGGAAAGTTTATACGATTAAAGTGTATACTTATCTAGCCTGTTTTAGCTGCTACTTCGGGATAATCGGTGCGAATGAAATATGTACGGAATGCCATTTGACTTGATGACAACGAATTATGTCGGAGAGAACTACGTGTATTATCGAGTAATGGATTGTTGCATATTTGGAAGTTAATTGAGCAGCTTCGCAAAATGGATACGATCATGGAGTTATAACTGAGAAAACGGCATGAAATATTTATGATTATGAATGATAACTAATTCACGAGAAGATCGACGTAAGATGTTTAAATTGCGTATAATTGAATGAGAGTTTAGTAACCGAGAGAAAAATGATTTGATGTTCGCTATTTTGTTAAAGAACTGAAAGTTGCTCGAGAGAAGTTCTTAGCATGGTAGAGAAATTGCAAATGAGCGATAAATTAACTTACCAATCAGAAAAANCCTATGCATGTGATAATAATATAACAACAAAGTATCTCAATTTTGGGTCATGTGTATCTATAAATAATTCTCAATGTAGTTTCAAAACTGGGTTTTATCTTGAATTACAACGTGGTTCAACATTAGTTACGGGAATGCAGATTTGTACTGCCAACGATTTTGCAGGGCGTGATCCATTTAAAATGTCATTGGAAGGAAGTAATCAATCTGGAACAAATCTCATTCTTGGTACCAGTTGGACTCTTATCTACCATGGTACCACTGGACTACAAGCAGATCCTGGTCGATTCAATTGTGGCACTGTACGAACAATAAACAATACAGCATGGTATAGTAGTTATCGATTTCTTGTTTCTGACACAAGAGAAAATTTAAATACTGTCCAATATTCTGAAGTACGATTATATGGATATTGACTTCTGTATTTTACTTACTAATAATCGATCGAATTCATTTTTTCATCATGTAATCCGGACCTTTCGCTAATATACTTTAGTTCCCTTATTTTACTATTACTAAAATCACTTTTGTCTCTCTTTCTTGCTTTCGTAAATGAACTTTATATATGTGATCATTAAGTTCATATCTTGCATGTGGTTAAATAAAAGTAGCATATATTCTATTTCCATCACAATATTAAAATTGCAATGCTAACGGATATAAATCGATCTTTATAGAACAATGTGAAGCCAACCATTTGAAAGAAATGAGAACTACTAATAAATAACGCTCGTCGAGAATGACTCGCATCACCCTCGACTGAAAAGATCAATGGAAGATATAGCAAGTTATTATTGTATTTTTCTTGATTTTGCGCAAGAGAAAATCCTTTTCAATATGAAGTCTGTTTGTTTTTCAATTGGAACAAGATACGTTGAGGATATAATGAGCAACTACATGAAAGAGGAGAAATAAACTATATTAGCTTTAACTACTCTTTAAACAAGGAAATAATGAGTATAAACGAGTACGAATAACAAGAGTGAAACAAAAAAAAGTATTTTATAGTAAAGCTGCAAAGAAAATTTGCACTTATATTACGAACAATCAATGAATAGAAAAAAGTTTCAATTATGCAAAAGATTTTCACAACTACAAGATATGCAAATAAATCAGATGCGAAAAATGGATGACGATTAATCGAAATTTTGTGTGTCCTTTAATATTTGTCAAAATCATTCTGAAAAACGTAACTGTGTTTCCATATAGAGTTTGTCCAGTCTTTGTATCTCGGCCACTTGATATTTGCTACACTGAAAAAAATAACAGCAGAATAGAAAACTCTAAAAGGGTACTTGAAACTGCAACGAATAATGAACCCTTCAAAGCGTATCGTAGCGCTTCCCAAACCCCCTTGAATACCTATCAAAATCCAATTTTTAACCGTACATTAGAACAAAAGACCCTCTTGAAAGGTTTTTGCTATCGTTTACGGAAACTTATTTTCGTTGTAAAACCCGTTTTTCTACCGTTTCAGAGAGCGTATTAATGTACAAACTACCCTAAAAGGGTTCATTGTTCGTTGCACTTTCAAAAATGAATTAACCATGTTTGAGATCCACATGATACCAAAAAACTACTACTGAATGCTAGACCAACGGTATTTCATAATTCTCATCATATCCACACATATGGATAAAAGGGTTTTGCCAGACACTTATGGGTCATGTGTGCTGCATGAGGGTTTACCATCTGCTCTTAAGAGAGCTATCAACCCTCTAAACGTTTCTGATATTCTGCTTGTCGACCATCTATACCCACCAGGGGTATTTGAAATTTCATTTGATGAGCTGCTATAATCACAAAGAATACTGGAAAGTTTATACGATCAAAGTGTATACTTATCTAACCTGTTTTAGCTGCTACTTCGGAATAATCGGTGCGAATGAAACATGTACGGAATGCCATTTGACTTGATGACAACGAATTATGTCGGAGAGAACTACGTGAATTATCGGGTAATGGATCGCTGCATATTTTGAAGTTAATTGAGCAGCTTCGCACAATGGATACGATCATGGAGTTATAACTGAGAAAACGGCATGAAATAGGTATGATTATGAATGATAACTAATTCACGAGAAGATCGACTTAAGATGTTTAAATTGCGTATAATTGAATGAGAGTTTAGTAATCGAGAGAAAAATGATTTGATGTTCGCTATTTTGTTAAAGAACTGAAAGTTGCTCGAGAGAAGTTCTTAGCATGGTAGAGAAATTGCAAATGAGCGATAAATTAACTTACCAATCAGAAAAAGCTATGGCTGCTTTGTCGATACAAGAAAAACATCGTTCGGTGAACAGAGAAATTTCCTTTGTGGATGTTATCATTGTCGCTTGATTGAGTACAATGATCGGAATGAAAATTCAGTGAAGATGAGTAAGCTATCGAGCTTTGACATATCGATGTCGAAGAGATGTTTTTAATAGTACAAAGAGTGAAGACGACATGAGTTTATACAATGATGAATGGCACATATTCTCAGCTGTTGAAGATATTTCAAAGACAAAAGAAGTTGGTCATAAGTGTTTGATGAGAAAGAAATTAGAATGAAGCGGAAAATAAAAAAGAGGAAGGTCACCATTCTGCTTAGTGCATATCAGCGAAAGATATTGACTGATTTTGATTGTTTTCTCACGACAAAGTCAAAATGAGAACCAGACTGATGATTTTGATCACCAATGATCATGATTCGACCGTCATTCGATCTCATTCCACCTCCAATACAACACTGGTTGAAATCGAACTGTAATCTGTAAAAGAAAAGTCAATAAATCAATTATCAACTTTTCCTTCACAGAAAACAATCCAATTCTAACCAGTGACCTGTATTGAATGATGGACAAGACCAAATAACAGTTGTATCATGAATATCAACGATCAACATCATCGGTCTGATTCACACTTTGACCTTGAAGAAGAATACAACCAAAATCACTCAATATCTTTCACTACAACAATATAACGAATTAAAAATAGCGAGTTCTGTTGCGAGGGTAACATTCTTAACAACGTCGTTTTCGTTTTCTTGTTTATCGAACACCTAAAGAAAATTGAGAGTAAACGGAGTCGATAACTTCATCGTGATCATGTTCATCGTGATTGTCATTGTCAAATGAAAGACAATTTTCTTTGCCTTTTGGTATTTGAGTTAACGCTTTGCGTGTTCGTTTCCGATTAACCAGAACATTTGAAGACGACAAGCCCAGGTCGAGACGAACAATTGGTGAATGCGTTCCGAACAAAAGAACGTATCAAAACGAGTTTTGAACGCATTCGCCACGCGTTCGAAAGATGTTCGATAGATGGCGCTCGTTTTGGAACGTGTTTTGCTTCGTTCTTGTCCCCTTCGTGGAGGTTAGCGATAAGAGTGTTGTGAATGGTGTCATATTGAACGAAATCATACAGATTCCACAAATATTGTCTAGATATCTCAGAATAGAGACTTTGTTGAGTTCGATTTGATATTATCGAAGGCACAGTTCACGATTTTTGTATTTTCAGGATCTCATTTCGTTGATAAGCCGCTTACCGGTTGTGAATCCAGTGTCGATTGGAAGCTACGGTCTCGCTGTGAGAATTATCAATGGAACAGCCGAATGCCACGTCTTCAAATTATGATCATTTTATGATTTACAGTAAGACACTCTAATTTTCTTTTGAAAATTCGAATGCGCCGATTTGTATATCATTAGAGCGTCTTTTGAAGAGAAAACAAAATCTTCGGTATCGAAAACGACTGCTAGTCAAATTCACTAATCCTAGTCGAACAAATATTCTGAATAACTCTGATGAGTTCTTCTGTGACTTGAAGAATTTTATAAACCGGGTCTCTTTTTAATTTAAGTTCCTTCGAATACGTTTGACTCCCAATGTGACGAATCTGATAATGGTCATGAAGCTGATTTTGAAACGAAGTTTAGTCTCAGTAAGAGCTGAATAATTCTTTAAGTTTGAGTGAAAACTATACACTTTATAGATGAGTTTGACAATGACTTTGTGGACACTTGGAGTTTCATTAATTTTCCCATTATTGCTGACACTGATGTTACATCCGACGAATTCATCGGTGAAATGAGACATTTTTCAAATGAACAAAAGTCGTTTGTGTGCGAATGTCACGAAATTATTTCTCCGAATCGTCCTGAACAAGCACAACAACAATTACTTTCTGAGATCATCCAATTCGTACACCAAGCAAATTTAAATAAAACGACTACGTCTTCGTTATTATCCTTACTTAGATCAATTCGAAACTCGAAGGTGAATGAAATTCCAAAAACAGCTGATAATCTCTGGCGCTTGCTGAATATAAAGTTCAATTACCAAATCTTCTATTATTGCTCTTCTTGCTTTTTGAATTTGGAAAACTACCAAGAAACATGCGGTCAATGCAAACTGAAGCACAAATCCAATTCAGAATTATATGTATTTTCCTTAAGTGACGAAATCAAACGGGTTGTTCTGTCTAATATGGATGTGATTCGTTGGTACAGTTCACCTAGTCACCAAATCGCTGCTGATATCGTTAATTGTGAGTTCCATATTTATATCAATGAAAATTCAGGATTGAGTGTTTTCATATTACTTCTAGGGAAATTCTATAGAAAAGGGAGCACGAATCAACCACGATTGAGTTTGCTTCTCAGTACGGATGGAAAACCGATCATCAAATCCAAGAAAACTCAAACGAGTGTGTGGCCTGTAAATATTCTATTCTAAGCATTAATCTCCATTCTCAGACTTTCTCCTATAGATACTATCGTTTTTGGCAGAAATACCTCCGCCATTGCGTGAACATATCAACAATATTCTTCTATTAGGGCTTTGGCATTCACCGACGACACCTCCCTCCTCTTTGCTTCTGAACAAAATCGTAGACAATATTAAACTGTTAATTGCCACAGGAATCAACATTGCCCAAAATGATCGTAAGTTGCACTGCCTATTCGATCTTTATTGTAATCGAAATCTCATGAAACATGTTTCTCAAAAGGCTATCTTCAACGTTATTTAATTCATATCTCAAATTTTGTTTTCTTCTCTTAAGAATTGATTCAATTCTCTGTGACTGTTCAACTATTCAACGGTGACTTACCGGCGCGTGCTAAAGTGAATAACATGGTGAATCATAACGGTTACTACGCTTGCTCAAGATGTCTTCTCGAAGGAAAACGTTGTGCGAAACCTTGCGGTAGACATACTCTTTATACATGGAAAGATTTTGTTGACAACCCACCAAAACAGCGAACTGCAAAACATATTGAAAACTGTGCCAAACAAATAAGTTCTTCGATTCCGAAAGTGTTTGGTGTTACTGGTTTCTCGTCGATTTCTGCTTTGATGTCAATACCGGAACAATCGGTTTTCGATTATTTTCATTTAATCTTGGAGATACATTTCCGGTGAGTAATGATTCTACATCATAGAAGTTCAAACTTTCACATTGACATCTTTTTCACATCATCTGCTTCAGTTGATAATGATGTCAATGAAACGTTTAGGAGTTTACATGACACAAGATGTTTTTGACTTTTCCTGTAGGTACTTATTGCAACATTGGTACAATATCATAAAACAAGATTCAGTGACACTCAGTCGCATTGATCAATATCTCAGTGAAATTCGTTATCCTCATTCGTTCAATAGACAACCTAGGAGTTTTGATAATCATAATAAATGGAAAGCGTCGGAACTCCGATGTCTTATGATTTACACAATGTTACCGGTTCTAGTCAAATTACGTCTCAACGCGCCGTATTGCTTTCCAGGTGTTTATATCTCTCATTTTTTATTTTTATTTACATACGTTCGAGTCTTGCGTCATTTCGATCACCGTGATGAAATTCGAGATATGCCGCAATTTATACATGTATATCTTCGTCATTTCGCCGATCTTTATGAATGCTGCAAGGAGCTATTCTCCGTTCATGCATTAATTCATTTGTGGCAGCAAGTTGAAGAACATGGAGGTCTTGCATATCACAGGTAGGTATTAGTATTTTCATGCACACGATCTATCTCATAATTTCAGCTTGTACGCATCGGAAAGTTGTCTACAAGTCTTCGAAAAGCTTGCTCATGGATCGGTAGTATTAGGTGAACAGATGGCATTTTGGTGGTGTATATATCGGCAAATTCGTTCACGAGAAGTACATTATTGTTCTAAATTGTTAACCGATGAATACTTTATCCACGACAACTTTTTCGATTACGATGGTTTGAAGAATTACAATCAAGAATTTATATTGATGTTCAACAAAATCTTCGGTCAATTTCCAAATTCGTCATTGAAGTATCATGCAAGATATCAACGTGGTCTAATTACATACCATTCTTTGATGTATACCCGACGTTTCAACTCAAACAGTTACAGCGTATGTGTTAAGAATGATAATGATCCTATGAAATTATTATTCTCGTATGGTGAAATCGTTTTCTTCTTTTACTTCAACGATGAACCTTTTTTCTTCTTCAAACGATACATGCGATCACAAAAACGGTTTTCCTCGTTGGTGAATCCGATTGAACAGATTCCGAATTGGAACTTTTACGTCGACAAGTATTATAAACTCATTCGTTATACTTCATCCGAGTTTATCATTTTACCGTGTACAGCAATCATGTATAAGTGTATTTTTGTTTTACTTAACGATGAATTTTCTGTATGGACTCCAGTTGAACTTGAATTGGAACACGACTAGTTGGTCATTAAATTGAAATTCAAAACTCTATAGCTTCTTTTTTAGATATCATTTGCCATCATACTTTCTTCATGTACGCAAGTTTATATCTCAGTTTCATTTATGCATCGATTCCACTATATTGGATGTGTTTAGACTAAATCTATGGCCAATAATTCTACCAATTCCATGACACCTGGCAGAATGCGAAAAGTTTCTCGTTTAACAACAAATACTCAACCTGTAGCACTAGCTTATGACGACTATGAGTCGGACGACGGTGGTTTCGATGAAAGTAAGTGAGGTTAACCGTTCGCATACATATCGTTTTTGTCTGATGCTATTTCAGATTATCCAGTTATGCGAGATGTATCGTTATATCCACATCAACCTCGTCACGTATCAAATCAATCGATGCAGGCAATGAGAAAAGACGGTAAGTTGCTTTCTTACTGGATGTTGAAGACATTTTCTTGTTTAGTTAATTATTATACACCTCAATTGAAACGTAAACGACAAGAAGAAAGTTCACTACAATCTTTTGCCGATACATTCAAAGAACAAATCGATACTATTCGACTAATGCTGAAGGATATCAATCAGAAAGTTGATGTGGTGCACCAGAAAGAAGAAGTTCTTGAAAAGAAGATCGATGTTCTCGACAAAAATATGAGTGGAGTAATCAGTAAAGTCAATAAGGTAAAACATCACATATCTGATCAAAGACTTTTTACTTCTTAGGAAATATTCGCAGCATTTGATCATCATGAGAGACTATGAATTACGATTGTCACTCTTCTGTTATTCATCTTCGAATTTGTTTTAGAATCCAACACCATGTGAACCACCAGCTTCTCTTGAGGTCATGGCAAATCTCAAATTGGAACCAATTTCTACTAAATATCTGACCGCTGATATCTGGTTTTTTGGGCAGACATCAGATATTTACCAACACATATAAATCACCAACATCATCAGAGAGCAGACATCAGATATTTACTCTCGATATAAATTTGAGAATTATCACTTACATAGAGCTCTAGCCATGGACCTGTGCTTTCGAAAGAGACATCAGAGAGCAGACATCAGATATTTACTCTCGATATGAATTTGAGAATTATCACTTACACAGAGCTCTAGCCATGGACCTGTGCTTTCGAAAGAGACATCAGAGAGCAGACATCAGATATTTACTCTCGATATGAATTTGAGAATTATCACTTACATAGAGCTCTAGCCATGGACCTGTGCTTTCGAAAGAGACATCAGAGAGCAGACATCAGATATTTACTCTCGATATGAATTTGAGAATTATCACTTACACAGAGCTCTAGCCATGGACCTGTGCTTTCGAAAGAGACATCAGAGAGCAGACATAAGATATTTACTCTCAATATTAATTTGCAAACGGAGTGATATAGGGGAAAAGGATGTGAAATACGTTCTATGCGTTTGTAACTGGGGTTTCACACTGAAAATGTATCGTGTTCATCGTACATGTATTACAATGTATGAAGCTGTACAAACACGTTTGAGCTACAATATTGCAGTTTGGTAGTTTGCTGTGTTGTTTTTAATGTTGGTACGTGTTATAGGAGAAGGTGGTTGATACTATGGTTAACGTTCAAATTGAGGAGAAGATAAGAAAGAATGCAGACATGTGTATATCAGCTGATCGAGGACAACTAAATCTACACGACAAGAAAGGAAAGAATACAGACATACGTATATGAGCTAATCGAGGATCATCTAACGTAAAACCAGACGAAAAGATAGTACGAGCATATGTATATCAGTCAATCGAGGGCAACTAAACGACACTATCTTTGATCATCTTGAGCTGTCTTTACTTATCGTTTGTCTACATGATATTATTCTTTGTTAACTGTAGAATACTTGTTGGGATTCATTTGTTTTCGCTACTATTTAAACCAATGCTGAGCTCGCATTAAGTATGGGATGTTTTAATAAATTAATTCGTTAAATGGATCACGAAAGGTGCACTTTATATATCAGCTAAGTGAACAGATCGAGTCATCTTGATCGTTTGAATTTAATTTTCTACTTGTATAGGATACAATCATATTTTGATTTTTTTCAAGAATGCACAGTTTATCAACTATAAGTTCACGTAAAAGGTTTTTTCTTCTGTTTATAGATATCAATTATTAATCGTATTCTATAATTCGAAATGTCGAAACGTTCAAGTATTAATGACGATAAAGTTACATCAGAAATGATCTTGAAAAACATAAATGAAGCTTCAGAAATGAATGTTGATATGTCAAAAATTCTGAATTCAGAGCAAATGCAACTGCTAACAACTTACAAGGATACGTACAATTTCGACTGTGCTCTGTCTTTCTTTTTATCATTAGCAATAATGTCGCACTTCACTCAAGGCTCTTATTACACCTACTATGCCAGCTCTGACCATCTTCCGGTTCAACTCTATTTATGGCTGCTAGGCCCTAGCGGTATGTTCAAATATTCTTTACAAACGAGTCGCTTTTCCTATCATGACACTGTTTTTGGCGAGATTTTTTCTTTTGCGACACAATGAACTATGTCAACGTGTTGGAAGGAGTAGCCATATATATTTATATTAGAAAATAGCTGCGTACTGTTAGTGGAATTTGGAAAATAGGAAAGTGTAGCAGACATGTATCAATTGATTGAAAAGGTCGAGAATCAACGCATTTTTTCCGATATGAGTTTGATATGCAGGAGTCGGATTAGACAAAAGAATTGAAAAGATCATATTTGAATCAAATCAATGAAAACATTAAAAACATAGACAGATGGAAGAAAGGAAAGAAAGCGAAACACACACGCATATATATGTATATGTCTCTCCTACTGCTTCTCTGTACGACATCTAACGGAAAAAAAAGATATATATATAAGTCTCTCTATGACATTCATGCAAACCGCTATTCACTCAGGGCTTTTTATATCAAGCTGTCTCATCAATAGGTAGAGATCATATCGTACGTGAACGGTCTAAATAGTGAAGAATACATGAGATTAATGAATACATATCTTTTTGTAAAATTTCTAAAAAGCTTCGACGAACGAGAATAATTCTCGAGCATTTATTTTCACCTATTGACGTTCGCTCAAGAAATGCAAATGAACGTCAGCTTAGTTCTGTAATATCTTGTCACTTTAGTAGATGAGATTTCCTCGAACGGTCATAGGAATTGAGTTGTATGACCAAGCATATTGTACACAACTTTTTCTTATCAAATATTGCTTTTTATTTTTCATGTTTCTTCTGCTCATAATTTCCTTTGGGATAATTCAGGAAGTGGTAAAACGTATGCATTCAAACAACTTGAAAAAGCTATCACAAAAACTGAGAAAATGTTTCCATCGACATACATGAAACCAGTCATGGTGAATGGCAGTCTAACTGAATCACCGTTATCATCTATCGTTAGCCATACCAGTCAAGTTGGCTTGAGGCAACATCTGGCATCAAACAGCAAAATATTGTTGAACGACGATGCGGACTCAATTGCTGAGACATACGGATTGTATAATGTGAATGACTCTGGAAAGGAGCATGAGCGAAATATCATACTTTGCGGATATGATGGGTAAAAATTAATCTTTTGTATAGAGATGTATTGACGATATATCATTTGCTATTAGCTTTAGCAAGTGGTCCAAAACTACAGGAACAACATTTATAGAAATCGAAAATAAGCGATTGTCGATTGCATTTGCTATCACTGGTGGGAAACTATCCAAAAATATGAAGAACTGGACAAATGCTACTGGATTCGATGGTACACACAATAGATTTTTGTATATGAGTATTCCTAAATCGCCTTACATAAGACCTCAAGAGTAAGACTACTATTTGATGACGATATCCGTATCTATTTACATTTATAATTTGCAGCTTTCAAATCAACGTGAACTCAAGAAACAATCCGACGCTTGCTCATCTAGCTGTGATCATTCATCTATTTGGTACTGTACGATTTGTTTTTGAAATGTCACAAGCTGAGCGTACAAAATTTTGCGATGGTATTTAAAGTCAATACTTTATAATAGACTTTCAAATTTTCAAGATTTGATTTACTTCCAGCATCATTCGATAAATCATCTATGTCACAAATTGAAACTGAACAATCTCAACAAAATGCTTCCGGTATGTTCACGTTGTGGAATTTAATCATTGATTTTAAAGAAACACAAGATCAAATTCCAAATCAACAACAACAAATTGTCGATTTTTATGGTAAAGTGAATACAACCTTCCCTAGATTAGCGTGCTTACTGCAATTATACATTAACGCTATGGTAATACTTGAACGTGTTAAAGATTTCGTTGTGTATGCCGAAGGTGACAATCAAGATTTAATTATCAATGAGGACTTTGTAAGGAACGTAGATATGATAATAAAAGCTGATTACCATAGATATGATAAAACATATTTACCACGTACAGAAGTGAGTCGAGAAGTTACGAATCCGATGGTACTTGTTGAAAAAGAGACCATTCTATCAGCATGGGGTTGGTACGAACATCATCTAAATATAATTACAAAGTTATTCACAATTGATTATGATTTCACACCTAAACCTACTATTGCACCACCAACAATTTCATTTAAACAAAAAACGTTAAAACAACTGATAATGGATTTGGATTTTAACATTTTCCCATTATCATCAATAAGCGTCAAACATCCTGTCACAGAAAAGACGTATGTTCATCGGTTTTTCATTTAATCAAGTATATAAGTCTTCGTCTATTTCTTATCTAGAGGCATAATGAAGAACAGACCAGCATTGGGCGAGAAAGCACTTCAAGAATTAATAAATGATAATTTACTAAAATTTAATTATTTTTTAATTGATACTCGTGGCCGCAATGTTAAATCATATATGAAGGCGCCGGTGCCATTAGACGATGATCCAACACGAGATATTTTTATGAAAAACTTACTAAAGCATGACATAGATTATGATGAGTATTGTTCTATCTATAAATCATCTTCAATTCCACCACAAAATAACTTTTCCAATTTAACATTAGAAATCTTTGAACATAGTGGGTGTTTTGTAAATGAGTATCCAAAGTATCGTGATCAACTAAATGTTGTGATCAAAAAACATATTGAACGTTGTGTTATTCAAGAAGCTGTACAAGGAAATTTTGTTATTCTTAATACAAATCAATTTACTCAACAATTTCATACTATTGAAAATTTAGTCTGCGGTACTCAATCGAATCAAGCAAGAAGCAAACGCCAGCCTCTGAATATAATTAATCAAGCAAATAAACCAACGGTACAATTTAGGCATACAACAGCTTCCATAGTCAGTGATCCTCGTGCGGCAGATGAGAAAAGTCAGCAAATACAGAATAATATCTCGACAGACATATCACGGGATCCAGAAAATGCTGCTATAATAGGTGATTTACCGTTTCACTTAATTCGCTTCATTTATCATTTGTTTTGACTAGAAGAAACTTTCACGGCTGATGCAGATCCTCTCTTTGATGATACCTGTAATTCGATTATGTCAACATGTGGAAAGCCAAGTGATGATAAAGATGAGTCTTCTAACATATCAACGCAGGAAATTGTGACAAAAGGTAGGTTGTTTATTTTGCTTCTTTAGTGAGTCTTCTTTAAATTCACAGCCACGAATAAATATGAACAAACAAGCGAACAAGCAGTTAAAAAAGCCATGCACAGCATAATGATTGGAAAATCTGTCATTTACAGCAAAACAGATCTGACTATGATGTGTAATAAACAAAATGTTCGACAGGCTGCGATGGAACGTTTAGTCGATGCTAAATTGCTTAAATATGGAGACAACCTGTGGATCGAACCGAATCGTACAAAAAAGACTACTAAAAAAAATTCAAAACCTATATTTCGTCCAGGGTGGTTGAAGTATGAACAACCGTCGATGATTTATGTCACTTGTTCTTCATGTTCTTTTGTAGAATGTGTCCAGCATCGAATTCAGATGTGTCAAAATTTGATTTTATAAGAACTCTACAAGAACATGTAAGGAGCCATGTTTCATTAGCTAAAGTATCTTTAATTAATAAAGCTTCGTTGTGTTAGGTAAATCTCAGTTATGATGAGTATTTGAAATCATTTTATCCTCATGAAAAGGAGAATGTTTTTACAAACAACAATTGGAGATTATCAGATGAAGTAATCAAAATATTTCAATCAAATGCATTTTATAAAGAACACATTCGATACGATATCCAACGATTTCGACCATGTGATTTAGAGAATAATTTGTTAAATGCGGAAAACCAGTCAGAACCGCCAGTGGCGCTAATCTCATGTTCGAACAATTCGCAAGAAACATCACCAAACGGAAACCCAACAGAGATGTCTCAGCAACAAAGAATTGATGGTAGCAGTGAAGAAGAAGATATGTCGTACACTTGCCCATTATCAACGAGTGTCAAAAGAAAAATTGGATCTCATACAAATTTCCAAGAAAATCTAAAACGCATACAACCAAGAAGGATGAAGAAAAATTAAATAATTCGACAGTTTTTATGGACCGATATTTGAATGATTGACTTTTATTCTTCTTAAACATATTCATATTTATTAAAGCTTGTTATTTTATTCTTCTTTTAACGTGCATACTTTAAACTCATTTTTAGATTATTGGGATATAAAAAAGAAAACAATTGTATTGTTTACTCCACATTTGAAAACGATATTCCTCGAATTATTTTTGATTATTCATTTATCTATATTTGTCAATTAAATGGATCAAAACAATCATTTTTCACCTCCAATGATATCGGTTGAAATTACTGATGTGGAACATGCTCTTATTTTGATGATGCGATCTATGAGCTTAGATCAAATAATATGTGTTATGATGTTGAATAACTTTTTACCAAAGGAATTACCTAACAAATTCAATCATATTGTAAATATAATTAATTTATATTTTATGAAATGTTATGAAATCCATACGATTAAAACATTGATTGAATTCATTTCTACACATTCAGTGTATAGTCAACTGTTCCAACAACATTCATTAAGCGATATGATGCAAAAATATAAAGTAAATAATATCGCTGAATCGGAAGGTGTGAATGAGTTATATTTGAAACCATATACAACAGAGTGTATTCGATGTAAAAAACAATTAAAGGCAACGTTTTCTCATCGATCAAAGACTATTATGTCGCTTGCACGGACGTACAAGGCACGTATGTAATTTTGTTAGATGTTTCAGCAATCAATTCATTTGAATTATCATTAATAGTTGTCAGTACTTGCGTTTGCCAAGATTGTAACATTCGAATATTTCCTAATTTTTACATTGATAACAATAAGAAAATTTTCACGGTTGAGTCAATCAAAAATGATCAATACGTTTATTTAAATGGAAATCAAATTTTCGAACAAAACCTACTAATCGATTTTGATCACCAACTAATCCAGAATACTGTCTCATTTGAGGGATACACCAATGCATATAATGCGAAAATCAAAATGATTTTAGAAAGACAAAATGGTCAGCGTAGCATGTGAGACAATTATGATTTTGAATTTGACCAATATTTGCTCACTTACTGTTTCTTAGGACATATCTTAATGAAAAAAATTTTCAAATGACTTGGCTATTGGTTAATATTGTTAAATTTTCTTTTATGACTACCAATGACAAATCTATTGCTATACCAATGTCTGTCCGTGACGTTGACGAATGCAATGACTATTTTTTAATGATCAAGTCTGATCTTTATGAAAAATTTGTTAAGTTTTGGACGAGACACCAACGATTCACAAAAACATGCGATCCTGCAACGTGCTCAAGAGTATTTATTGTGGATGGTCATCAAAAAGCTAATCGACTCATTTGTCAACACAAAGACATATTTGATAATACTATACCTGAACTTGGTCCAGTGCAAATGGGATGCCTTTATTCTCCCCTGAGAAAAGGTATGTTTTTCACCTATTTGAGTGAGCAGAATTCTCTTACGAATGGCAGTACATTTTCGAAGCAACTTTCAGAAAACAGCTCACGAAAAATTTGTTCGCATTAGGAATCAAGAGAAACGATAGATTGTTTAGGCCGCGAGATTTTAAAGAGCGGTAAATTGGATCTAATTGATAACAAAGTATGATACACTTAGGAGCTTTTTATTCATACCCTGTTTCATACATACCGCATTTAGTATTTACTTTACGCTACATCTCATATTCTTTTATGATATACTGACAGATATCACAAATACAGCTTGTTATATGTATAGCTTTTGTTTTATATCGTGTCACTTATTTATCGTTGATCTATTTTTCTTACGTTCAACAATATTTTCTTTCCTTCCAATATCTGAGTTCATGATTTATATACTAGGTCGATTTTTGAGATTGCTCTATCGTTAATGAACGTAATTACAATCAATCGTCATAGTTGCCACTTTTCCCGTGCTATTAATGTACAAAAGATGAGAAAATCGATATATTGACAGCTCAGTAGCGAACGATGACACATCTCATCTCGATAAATGATTCTTCGTCTAAGTTTATTTTATTTGTATAGCTTCTAATATTGATCACAGATTCTGTCAACATCATCAACCGTCGAAAGTGCTATCAAGTGCAATGTGCCATATGATTCATGAGAATAGAGAAACTGATCTAGATAAATTAGCACTAGCTCAGTTCATTGATAAAGATGGTCGTTTTAATGATGAATTGTGTAATGTGTTCAGATCTGGGATTAATAACAAATCAAAGATAAGTTCATATGGATTTCTAGCTACTTTCTTAAACTGTTCGGTTATTGTTGGATTCACAGAACAACCATGTGCTGAGGGAAGTGAGTGTAAAGACTTCATTGACACTTTTTTTGACAATGTTATATCTTCATTTTGATAATGATAGTGAGGCGGGTTCTTCATCATGTATTAACCATTATGCGATTCGGCCCATTACCTGCAGCAATGTGTTATGATTGCGCATGCACGCTGAAGCTCTTTGTTGATAAACACTTCGGGTCAGACAATTTGAAATCGACGAATTTTACTGCATTTCTTCCGTCATTGCCTATGGCGATTGACAGATTTCATGTCAAAAATCACAAAAGAGCAATGTGCAAAACAATAATGCGGCCTGATCATGAGTGCCATAAGGGTGTATACAATGCTATCAACACACAAGTTGCTGAGCAAGGTTTTTCTTATTTGTCTAAGTTCAAAAACTCGTTTAGAGGATACAACTATCCAAAGTCAACAATATTTTTTACGATTCTTTTTCACCTTAAAAATTGTGCCGTAACTGGTATTAGTTCATTTGAACAATCAGTATAGAAACTTGTTAATCATAGTCGTATTTTTAAACTTTTAACCACTCTGATACACTTTCTTTGTTTCATTCCTATTATCATTTCTCGTGAGCTTTGATCTCGTTATGAAAATATCGCATAAAAAGACACTCAAAAATATTATTTTTGAAATTTCCTTCTACTATATACATCTAATGAAGGGGATGAAAATAATGGTAAATAGTTGACATCTGCTTGTCTACTGAATTTTGTGGATTAATGATTCTAAATATCTGACATCTGTTTATCTGATCAGCATAAAGGTGTCAAGTAGGATATTAATAATTCAAAAGAAATTCACTCTAATTTTTTTCGTAAAGTAAAATTACTATAATGACACGAACTCTGTCCGTAAACAGTGCTACTCTCTCCATATGACAACAGAAGCTTGAACTTTCATGCAAAAGTAAATATCTGATATCTGCTTATCTGATCGGTTTAAACGTGTGTGGTAGGATATCAATAATTCAATAGACATTCGTTCTAAACTTCTTCGCACAATAAAATTAGTATTATGGCACGAACTCGATTTTTCATGCTGTCTAATTATCACAATTTTGAAAATTTTGAAAATAAGAAACTTTTAAAATTTGTATATTTTGAAAATTTTGACGTGCGAGTTTTGAAAACTAGTACCAATTTTATATTTGCCACCCCTTGAAACTAAATGTGCTCTTCGTGGTTAGCGCTAATCAGAAATCACCGAGTTGACTACATAATATGTTTTAATTAAGGAGAAAAGCGAATCTTGGGAGTCTTCAGCACTTCCTAATTTTTGCCAGTTTCTCAAATTTTCTAGGATATGTATGAATTTTTTAGGAATCTTTTGTTTTTTCAGGATCCTTTAGAATATATGGGTCGTCACCGTATTTGTTTCCCATTTATGATTCGAAAAACTAGAACAATCAAGAAAAAATCCCAAAAATTCACAAAACTGCTCTTTGTGAAACATGATCTGAAAGGATGTTGAAATATTTATGAGTAGAAATTTGGACTTATCATCTTTGTTCACAGGCGCTACCGACAGATATAATAATCTTCTTACAAATTGTCGCTTAAAAACCTAGTCAGCAGTGGCACTAAGATTCGACAGGATTGTACCGATCTCTATTTTCCTTTCGAATCGATTCCAGCCTCGTCGGGATTGGAATTCAAAACAGTACCTTAATCATATCGACACGATCCTGCGGGACGTTTTCTAGTTGACGAAAATACTAAAATGTACACTGGAACATCACGTTTTAATTGAAAAAGCGTATCAGTATACAATGTTATTAGTGATATCTCATTCAGCAGGTATGTAAAAAATATTTCTGACAGATTGGCAAACAAAGGAATTTAAACAAGACCGGGACAGGTTTTCCGTTAGGAAATGGCTTCAGTGTTTGGGCAAAACAACGTCACCCTGGCAAACCCCAAACTCATCCGATCCTTCGTACAAGTGATCGAGAGGCAAGTAGACTAACTATGAAACTGTATCACAACGAGCAGACCAAATGAATTGTGTTTCACATTTTGAATTCCACCAGAGATGGTGCCGAAAGCTTTTTCGCGTTGTAAATACATATTATATGTTTATTTCACGAGACAAGAATATCATATGTTATGTAGAAAAAACGTGAAAAATCTTTAGGGCGGCGCCCAACCATCCATTGAATCCTGGTTACGCCACTAACAATCAGTATTCAATCTGTATCGAAAAATTATTACATTGCCGATAATTTGGAAAAGGTCTATATAGATATATTGATAATGTATTTTTTTACCTTCTCCATACAGAAATTCGGAAGATGCATTGTGATAAAAACTTTTTTATAAATATCAACCGATGAATTTCCGGTTTTTACCGGACCGGTTCCAGCGCTGATATGCATGTATCATGGTCAAAACCGTTGGGTGGTGCTAAAAATGTTTTCCACCCAGACGATCTGGGTGAAGTATGATCCTAATAATTTTTCGCTTGGGTGACCATGTAGCATGGTTCAGGACCACCGTGAATTTACTCTCGTGATATTCTAAGGTATCTGCGATTATTGACTGAGCAAAAACTTTACAAGTACCTAGGTTACTATGCTAAAAATGCCTGTAAAACGGTACTTTTTTACCACGTCACAATGGCTTGTTATAATAGTAAAAAACGTGCAAAGTTGTTTTATATTACAGTTTACGATTGTTTCTCATGATATTACTCAAAATCTGTATTGTATATGCCAAAATATAGAAATATCCGCGCACCCAATTTTGCTTAAAAATAGACTCGCACTCGAAGCTATGTCGAAGTTCGCGAAAACTGTTTTAGCGTGATTTTCCTTCGTCACACATTCATCTTGACTGTCTTTGTTCAGGAAAACAGTAGCTTTCATGAATACAATTTAACTCCTCTGTTTTACCGCGACTAATCCAATGTCCATTGGAAGGGACATCTCGGCTTTTACGGGTTAAGATCATAAACGATAGTTAAAAGGATGAATCAAAATAAACTATAACCATTGTTTTAAATTATATTCCTTGTGGAATTAAAATCAGTTTGTTTCTACTCACCCTCAAATGTGATTCTTTCAGAAAAAGAGTCAGCGAATTCTTTCGATGAGCGTTACTTGTATTACCTGAAAAGTGCCGACAAGCCAAAGTTGGAAGAAAAAAAAAACCAAGTTCCTAACTGAATTCTTATCTTCTTTACCTGTTTCGAGTGTAGTGAAGTGACTTTTTTATGAGTGTTGTTTGCGAGAATCTGCTTAAAAACCAACAGACAATAAAAATATTTTTCGTCTCCGCAAAAATAAAAAAAAGAGAACGACGTCATTCGTTGCCTATATAAAAAAGAAGCGAATTCCTTCTTTTTCACAAGAAAACAAAATACTGTGAATTTCAGTTTATTCAATAAAATGGATGCACAAAAAACAAAATCAAGTTCCACGACTAGAAAGCATGGTAATTGTAACGATAATGATATCGTTCATCTCTTTCTGTTCTTTATCCTCTCACCTCTATATCATACTATCTCCGGGTCATCTCTCTCTTTCCTCTTCTCTATATAAGCGCGTGTCTTATTGTGAANACGTGTGTGGTAGGATATCAATAATTCAATAGACATTCGTTCTAAACTTCTTCGCACAATAAAATTAGTATTATGGCACGAACTCGATTTTTCATGCTGTCTAATTATCACAATTTTGAAAATTTTGAAAATAAGAAACTTTTAAAATTTGTATATTTTGAAAATTTTGACGTGCGAGTTTTGAAAACTAGTACCAATTTTATATTTGCCACCCCTTGAAATCTTCTGGCCGAGCCATTGCCACCAACTCCATTAGATCTTATGAAACATTGCATAAATCAATTATTTACACCGAATGAGATTATCCGTGGAAGACACAACGAAGTGAACGAACGAACGGATAAAATAAAAGGTAAACCATTCGATTATTACCAGCTTCGACGCGATATTCAACCAATATCTTTAGTTGCAATTGGTGCTGCATACTTCAACAATGATCCGCACAATATACGAGGCTTTTGGGATAGTGTCGGGAAGATTACCAGAGGTAATCAAAAGCGTGGACGTGTTTTTCGACGACGAACACAGTGAGTTCTATAAATTAATGTGCATATGTAATATTTTTATCTATTAAAAATCGCAACATAGAACGCAAGCATTTGTTTCAGCAAGAGTGAATCGGAATGATGATCAAACTGATGAACAAAGCCAAGAAGTCGATGATGATCAATCGGATGAGCAAACTGGCAGTCAATTGCTGTTATAACGCTAATCGTTTGTGTTGAAGTAACATTAACTCGGTCTCAGGTATGAAAATGTTGATTTGTCGAAAGTGAAACCGAAATTTCTCCCTTTTCTTTTTGCTATCTCTTGTGAACCTTCGTCTCTAACTGTTCTTCTTCGTTTTCTGTGTGATATGAAACTCGAGTCGCTCTTTTTTTTGTACTGCCAACTTTCAAATTTGTAACTTTCGGTTTTTCGTTTGACTAGATAAGAAACTGGTGTCATTTTGCCATGTTTATCGTGTTTTTTTTTCGCATTCTGACTTACTGATCCTCGTTTCTTTTGTAACCATATTATTCATGCCGCGACTCTCGAAATAAACTTATGACGCATCATAACATGAATTATGTGTTTTATTTGCATGCCTAGATTCAGGGTGAATATGCGTTTAATGCTGTTGCGAACACATTCGAAACGAACACCGAACGCGTTCGAACGACACGAACACGTTCCGAGCTACTTATTCGGAACGCGTTCGGAAAACACGTTCCAAACGCGTTTTTCAATTGTTCGTCTCGACCTGGGAGGCTTGATTGACTTCTGTGCCGAAACTGCTTTGGAAAAGAAAACGAAACAATTCATGTAATTTGAATCACAAGACAAAAACTTACGTTTGCGAGTTGACATTCGTGTCGCTCGACTCGTCTCTGTCAACTGCCGAATCACCAATGATGACGTTTGTAGAAGATGACGCACACTGATCTTGAGACACTACTTGAGAATTCGCATGCGGTGGTGGTGTTGATGTTGTAGTTGCTGTTGCTGCCGAATTCGCTGCCACTGAACTTGTTAAATTTGAAATTTTTCGATTTTGTTCAAAGCAAATATCGATTTGTTTTTCTTTGATCAAATTGCGAATACTGTTTGAAAGAAATCGTTTATCATCAAAGACAGTCGCGTATAATAAACGAATCGTCCGACTATTTTTGTTAAAGTTCAATTCGAACACAGCATACATCNATATCCTTGTTGTCAACGCCCAGCCATAGACAATGGCACGGATGGATGGTCGCTTGTGCTTCTCATCACCTATTTGCTTATACCTAGGATAAAATATTTGGTAAATAAAACTCCACGTGGTGAACAAAAGTGGAGAAACTAAAGAGCTACTAAATAACGACTAGCTTTTGTAGCTTTTTCATCCATAAAAATAAAATTTTGACTTATCTCCACAAACTTGTATGTTGATCGAATTTCCGAACTATCGTCTTTAAGTCAATACAGTAAACAGTAAAAAAGATTGAAAGACATCTTTTAAAATATAGTTGGTTCTTTTTTGAGTGCACAAAAGACAGTCGACTCACTCATCAAGTTTGGAAAAATTGAATTTTTGCAAATAAAACATATTTAAGCAGGTTTCTGAATGTACTTTTTCACGTTGATAATGAAACTGTCCGCAGTTTCGTAGAAGACATGTTGTACACATGTTTATAACACTCAGCAACAAAGTTTTCCTAGAAAGTACATGGAACGTATCTGATTGATGGAGAATCTTGTGTTCCACGAATGGGGCCACTAGCCCAATACTTTAACCGTTAAGCTCGCTTTGCACTTCTATAGATGGTTTTTCACTTTCGCTGGGGACTATCTGTTTGCATGTCGATGAATACATTTAATTTATTTGACCGAGCACCTACCTACACAAACTGATTAATCCGCCGATTATTTGGACCATCTAGATCATATGAGGTACACCAAAAGTGATTAATAAAAGGCTACATTCTGTGAGGTCGGTTAGTTTCTTGTATGTATTACCCGAGGAAAACTAAGTGGAAGAAATAATTTTTACATTTGAGAAGCGTGCAAGTAGCTGTACCGAGTACATGTTTGTTAAATTATGTTGCGATCAACAGTTTCGCAAGAAATCTCACTTCAACGATAAATGTTATATAATGATAGTCCCTTGGTGAGACAATGTTACACAATCAAACGACTTTTCCAGAAACTCAGAAGTTTGTTGGCAGCAAATCACTTTCATGATATAGGTAGAGTTTGACATGCTGCATCAATTGAAGTTTGAACAAAGTTCGTGTCTATTTTAGTTCTCAGTATAAAAATAAAATAGTGCATCAAACACGCTTACCATTTTGGTTCGATAAGCTGAAGCGTGTTGTAAATTCAATAGATGTGGTCCTTAGAGAGCATCCACAAGAAAATGAATATATTTATACATACGCCTACATACGACAATTTTTTGCCTTTGAATTGAGGCAGGCCATTCGACAGACCTTGAAATGCTATGTTTAGAAATCAATATTTACTCTTATCTGAACCTTCCATCCGGAGATACAGTATACTCTTTAAACCACTCCTAATTTCAATTTGGTGAGAATTGATGATTTTTTTAGATTTTCACTGTATCTTCTTTCCCCTTTGATCCTTAGCTGGCGTCAGTACGGAGTTGTCCTCTGGACCAGTACGCTGCTGTAGGTGCCAATGGATCTCGAATTTTGTTCACAAGCCGCTGTCAAGCTTCACGGTCCGTGGCTTTTCAAATCCTCTTCAATCTGCTTGGACCATGTTTTCTTTGGTGCTGTTCGTTGGATCTTCCACTGTGTGGGGCGTTCTCTCCATAGCAATCTATAAGGCAGTCGATTTTCATCCATTCTGCCGACGTGTCCAAACTATTGCAGGCGCCGTTTCTAGATTTGTTCTTCTATCGTGGGCTGTTGTTCGCGTTTTGCTCGGATGGTTTCGTTCCGAATATGGTCGCGAAGCGAAACTCGCAGGATCTGACGCAGGTATCGCATCTGAAAAATTTCAAGCTTGTTCAGTTCTCGTTTGAGCAGAGTCCACGTTTATGATCCATAGAGGAGAATCGGTATGATGAGACTTCTGAAGAGACGAATTTTCGTCTTGATGGAGACGTTAGTTCGTTTCCATAGGCACCATTTGAGGAAGGCGAATGCCGCGGCTGCTTGTCCAATTCTGCCATGGATCTCCGATGTTGCCGCTACTCTTTTTTCCTGTATCACCGATTCTAGATATTTGAATTCCTGGACTTGTTCGATCTGCGTACCGTTGAGGTGTACCGTAGTCGGCGATTTATCTGTCGTCAACACTTTTGCCTTGTCAACGTTGATTTTTAGGCCGTATTATTGGGCAATGGTAGCGATATCGTCGTTGGCGAACATGTGGTCAGTTGTGAAGTAGTCCTTGTTGTACTAGATTCCGCCTCTGTCCTGGAATACTTTTCTCATGATGGCGTCAATCACGACGTTGAAAAGAAGAGGAGAGACGACGTCTCTTTGTCGAACTCCGGTTCGAATGGAAAACTCCTCAGACGATTCGTTTCGAATTCCGATACTGCTGGTTGATCCATTGCATGCTGTTTGGAGAAGTTTGATGATCTTGAGGGGCACGTATTCGGTTTCCTCCATCAGTTGCCGGATGGAGAATATTTGGTCACAACGCCCACGGTTTGGTCTAAATCTGGCTTGTTCCTCTCGACTGGTCTGTTCTCCGTGTTTCTAGAGGCTTGACTGGATGGTTCTCATCAAGACCTTTCCAACGATCGCGAGGAGACTGATGCCGCGATGATTTTTGCATTCACTGTTGTCGCCTTTCTTGTGAATTGGAACCATGATTGCCTTTCTCCATGTAGGTGGTATTTGCTCCGTACGCCAAATGGTTTGGAGAAGTGCGTGGAGTCGACGGAGCAGGACGTTTCCTCCGGCCTTGATTGCTTCTGCGGTAACATGGTCCGCACCTGGTGCTTTCCCATTTCTCAATGGCTGCATGGCTGTCTTCACTTGTTCGATTGTTGGCTCGTCGGCAGGTATTGTAGTCGTTGGTGTATCGATGCGAGGCGGATCTGCTAGTAGTCCTTGAGGTGGTTCGTGGTTGTACAGTTCTTCGGAGAATTCCTTCCACCGTTCTAAGCGTTCTAAAGATGATCGTACAAAAATCCCGTCTGTTTTTCTGATATTATCGTTGATCGGTCTGGCTTTTCCACTCAACCTTTTCAGGGTTTGATAAAGAGTGCGATATTCGTGTCTAGATGCTGCTTCTTCCAGATGGGCTGCCATTTGGTTTCAATNAGCGAAAATAAGTTTTTGAAAAAAAATCGCGGTCATCGCTGATTGGCGGAAATCGACCAATCAGAATTCGCGGGAATGCACCTTGGAATAAAGGCTTTTTCCAAGACTCGTTCCCACGGTAGCATTAACCTGAGAGATGAGTGTCTTACCAGGGTACATGTAATTAGTTGTCAGAAACGATCATAGATTATGATTATTTAACCGTTTATGAGTTAATTAAGTGGAAATTAACGGTTAAGTGCAACCCGTTAACCGTTAATATTAGCGTTAACGGTTTACGTTAACGTTAATATTAACAATTAACGGGTTCCGTTAATTAACGGCCGTTAATTAAGTAGAAATAAATTAAATGGTCTACCCCTACTCTACTAGAAGTATAAGTACAAGTATTTTCTGGCAAGTACAAGTACAAGTACAAGTACAAGTACAGGTACATCCATGCACGTACAAGTACTTGTACGTGTACTTTGTGTACGTGTACTTTGTGTACGTGTACTTGTCCTACCTCTGGTTTGGAGGGACGGTTTGGGAAAAATAATGTGTGCAATGGATAGAGCTCATCGAGATCTACTTGGAAAGTATGTTATCTTAGTTGGAAACTTCTTTGTCGCGAATCGTAGTTGAAAAAACTCGAATCTTATTAGAAGATATCCTACGTAAAAATTATGACATGCAATGAATCCGATATCGAATCAATATCAGATGACGATGATGAAATTTACATGAATCAATTAACTGGACTAGTTGAAGGTGAAATTATTCATATTCAAGCAGTAACTGTTGGTGGTGAAGGAGGATCGATCGAAGTTATTCGATCAGATCATGATGAATCGATCGAACAAAATCAACATCAACAACATGTCGAACTGAATGAAACACCACAAAATCAAATTAAACGTCGAAAGAAACGAAGTGCTGAAGCAAAAACCAAATATAACAGAAGACACAATCAGCAACGACGGACATATCGTTATAATTATCCAAGTCGTCGATTGTTACATCAGTAGTTCTCGTTACACATGGTTCGACAAATCCTGTATTTATACAAGGTTAAATTTCTTCATGTCAAACGCGATGGACCTGATCATGTATCAATTGGATTGAAAAATGAACAAGATCAAAAAGAAGTTGACAAATATTTGGCCAGGAACATATTCAATCGCAACGGTTATTACCATTATAGATAGAAATTCAGACGATGATTTTTAAAAATTTTTATATGCATATCTGTTTTCTCTTCTCCTTTTCCTACTTGTTGTTGTTATATTTTTTGTTATTCTATTTTCTTTCTCTTTCAAAAGTTTTTTGTTGAACAAAAATCTTTTCGCAGTGGGAAGGACGTTATGGTTGAATCAACTATGACATCTATATTATATTAGATTCTTTCGTGTTCGTTCTTTCTTCTTGTTATACTTATATATGTTGTTATAGAATAAAATAAAACCAGTTATGTTCTAACTGAATCCGAACTCGCCTATCTCTCTTTCTATTTTACGAACATAACAGATGGTCCTAAGAACTCAAGTTAACGACGGCTGCTCGGGACATTATTCGTGAAGCAAGTGGTCGCTAACGGAAGAGCGGTTCTGTCGTGGCGGGCGAAAGAGATTGCACAGAAGCAAAAAGAATACGTTATTCAACAAACAGTGAATAATTACCGTCGTAGGAAAGGATTAAAGTCTTTTCATGTTATTTCTAGACCCTTAAAATCTGAAATTCATATATCAGATCGATTACGGCTCTGTGATTGGCTGAAAGGTTGGACTGAAGAAGATTTTCTTCATCTGGCACCATCGGATGAATTTTATGTTTGGACTGTTCGCAAACCAAATTATGAAAATGATAGAATTTGGGCAAAAAATGTTGAAGATATTGAAGACGATGAAAGGTATCGTGAAATGGTTAAAAACCAAGCGTGTATCGGCATTTGTATCATTTTCACCGCGAAAAAAATGCATCGGGTGATTAAAGATAAAGGTGAATCTTGGACCGGTGAATATTTTCGTGGCATTATTTTAATGCAACACGTATTTTCGTTCCTCACCGACGAAGAAAACGTAATTGATCTGGATAATGTGATATTTGTTCCCGATAAAGCACGATGTATGCGAGCAAACATGACTCAACATCTGATTCGAGATAACAACATCGAGTTTTGGGGCAACGATATCTGGCCTGGTAATTCACCTGATCTCAATACGGTAGAACATATTGGATCAATAATTAAAGATGAAGTTGAGCAAAAAATGTTATCGAAAACTGGACATAATCGATAGAGTAAAGACACATTGTGGATGTTTTTTGACGGACATGGAAGAAAATAGCGAATTGTTCGAATCTCTTTTAGATTCGTATCCATCTCGAATTCGTGCAGTAAAGAGCGCTAATGATCGCCATACTGATTATTGATTGTGCTCAATAAATAATAAGAAAAAAAACTATTTTACAACATAGTGTAGGCCGAACTTTTTCGACAAACTGATTTTATAATATTTTATGTTGGTAGAAATAGTAACCTTTGATAAATCAATACACGAAAGTTCTTCAAAGTCTTCCAATTCAGTATCACTAAACTCCATTTTTCACGAGCTTTCATTTGGTATAAAATTCATGATATCTCCGACTCGAGATCATAGTGTTACCCCCTAGAATAATATTATTTACCACCCTGTAGATTCCTGAACTTCATCGGTAGAAATGGTTCCTTTGCTGTAATTATATAATGCACAAATATTATGTGATTTTAAACAGCCTATCTTTACTGTGTCATGTTATTGTTACACAACGATCAAACAATAACTAACTCAATATATGATTTTTTTTAGTAGATAACCTACTTGCTATAAATCTGCAATAATCTCAAAATAAAGTTTTCAGACAATCTGAAAAATATAAAATGTTTGTGATCGGATATTGTTCCAATTCTTTTTGCAAACCACTGTAGGCGTGAACGTAAAAATTCTATTAAATGCAGCCTATAGCCCTCACAATCACCACAATTTCCTCCTTAATATTGAAAGCATAAGAATGTTTTATGTGAGATATTTATTGAATATTTGATATGAAAAATCATTCGTGTCACTGCAAATTTTTCACGACCAAATCTAAATTGATCATTGTCTGAACTTGTCCTGTTGAGAGATCGATATAAATTTCTTCATCGTTAGGTCCACTGCCAATGATTTCCATTCGAAATGCGTGCATAAATACCCCTAAATGATCAAGATTTTCACGCCCCGAAAAACCAATTGAATCTCTCGCAGATTTTGGATCGAAATTTAACACCTTAACGAGAAAAGTCCAGTCACTTGGTAGATCATCCACTTCACTTTCGGACAATGGTAGACAGATATTATCTGCGTGACAAAATTTTTTTTTGATAGTTTCATCCGTGTCAACCCGTGGATCAATTCTTTCCTTGAAAATAAAACGCATTGTCTTGCTGCTATCTCTTCCCTCTTTTGGTATGTAATCGTAGACATAATGGCTGTCTTCACTTCTTCCTTGAAGTTCGCCATCAAGTAACCGCCACATAATAACCGAGTAGCTCTTGCGAATACGATCTTGAACTAGGAAAGCAATATCGTTTGTCTCTTCTTCTGACATGGCTATATCCAACGAAACGATCGAAAGAATATAAACGAGTCGCGAAAAAGAAATGTTTTTTTTGCGACGAGCGTTGATGTGAAGAGAAAAACATCAAGATAAATAGTCCATTTATAGGCAAGATGCTGAAAAGTGCGTCACATGTTGATTTTTACTCCTTAAAGCGTCTTATCGCGATTTGTTTCTTGATAATGGTTGTTTGAAGAGAAAAAGAAAAAAGAGAAAGAGTTGATATTTTTTCAAAGTTTATATTGAGGTAGAAACGTGTGAGGTAATTATACATACGTATAACTGTGCTGTATTTTTATGTATATTTGATGACTTTAGTGGGTTGGTAGTTACGATTTAACGGTGACAAAGAGTTATAAAAATAACTAAAGATGACTACGATGATGATCATTCATTTTCAGAAAAATAGATCACTATTATAGGAGTCATGAACAAGTAAGAAGTCTCTAGAGACTCCTCCCTCTGAGCATAGAAAAAGAACGTGTAAGCAAGAGAACTAATCTTCTTCTTCTTCTTCTTTGATCCTTAGCTGGCGTTCGTACGGAGTTGTCCTCTGAACCAGTACGCTGCTGTAAGTGCCAATGGATCTCGAATATTGTTCACAAGCCGCTTCCAAGCTTCACGGTCCGTGGCGGTGTTTCTGACATTGTCGAAGGATAATCCATGGCTTTTCAGATTTTCTTTGGTGCCGTTCGTTGGATCTTCCACTGTGCGGGGCGTTCTCTCCAGAGCAATCTATAAGGCAGTCGGTTTTCATCCATTCTGCAGACGTGCCCAAACCATTGCAGGCGCCGTTTCTGGATTTGTTCTTCTATCGTTGGCTGTTGTTCGCATTTTGCTCGGATGGTTTCGTTCCGGATATGGTCGCGAAGCGGAACTCGCAGGATCTGACACAGGCATCGCATCTGAAAAACCTCAAGCTTGTTCAGTTCTGACTTGAGCAGAGTCCACGTTTCTGATCCATAGAGGAGAATCGGTATGATGAGACTTCTGAAGAGACGAATTTTCGTCTTGATGGAGATGTTAGTCCGTTTCCATAGGCACCATTTGGGGGAGACGAATGTCACGGCTGCTTGTCCAATTCTGCCATGGATCTCCGGTGTTGCCGCTACTCTTCTTTCCTGCATCAGCGATTCTAGATATTTGAATTCCTGGACTTGTTCGATTTGCGTACTGTTGAGGTATACAGTAGTCGGCGATCCACCTGTCGTCAATCACGACGTTGAAGAGAATAGGAGAGACGACGTCTCCTTGTCGAACTCCAGTCCGAATAGAAAACTCCCCAGACGATTCGTTTCGAATTGGAATATGGCTGGTTGATCCATTGTATGATGTTTGGAGAAGTTTGATGATCTTGAGGGGCACGTATTCTGTTTCCAGTGTTTTCCACAAAGCCGACCAATGGATGCAGTCAAACGCTGACTTGAAATCGATGAACACAACGATGGTCCGCTGCCCACAGCGAATTCTTTCCTCCATCAGCTGTCAAATGGAGAATATTTGGTCACAACATCCACGGTTTGGTCTAAATTCGGCTTGTTCCTCTCGACTAGTCTGTTCTCTGTGTTTCTGGAGTCTTGACTGGATGATTTTCATAAAGACCTTTCCGACGATCGAGAGGAGACTGATACCGCGATAATGTTTGCATTCGCTGTTGTCGCCTTTCTTATGGATTGGAACGATGATTGCCTTTTTCCATGTAGATGGTATTTGTTCCGTATGCCAAATGGTTTGGAGAAGTGCGTGGAGTCGATGGAGCAGGACGTTTCCTCCGGCCTTGATCGCTTCTGCAGTAACATGGTCCGCACCTGGTGCTTTTCCATTTCTCAATGACTGGATGGCTGTCTTCACTTCTTCGATTGTTGGCTCGTCGGCAGGCATTGTAGTTGTTGGTGGGTCGATGCGAGGCGGGTCTGCTGGTGGTCCTTGTGGTGGTTCGTGGTTGTACAATTCTTCGAAGAATTCCTTTCACAATTTTAGGCGTTCTAAAGATGATCGTACAAACGTCCCGTCTGTTTTTCTGATGTTATCGTTGATCGATTTGGTTTGTCCACTCAACCTTCTCAGGGTTTGATAAAGAGTGTGATATTCGTGTCTAGATGCTGCTTCTTCCAGATTGGCTGCCACTTGGTTCCAATGAGCTTCTCTCTCTTTTTTCATTTGATTTCGCATCTCGCGGTTCAACTGCCGATACCGTTCGTGATTGACTAATTTCACTCTTTTCCGGTCGTCCAGCAAGTCGGGGCATTCGTTCGATATCCAAGGCTGCGTTTTTAGGCGAGTGGGTGGACACAGGTGTTTGGCACAGTCCAGAATGGTGTCCGATATTTTGTCTTTCTTCCATGTCGACATTTTCTGACTGAGCCAAAGCTGCGAAGCGGTTAGATAGTGCGATCTGAAATGCCTGTTTTTGAATGGGGTCTGTCAATTGTCTCCAGTCCAGCCTGACTGACGACGATGATTTCTTCTTAGCCCGTTGTAGTCGAAGTTGTATCGTGGCCTTGACGAGGTAGTGGTCTGATCCACAGTCTAGCCCTCTCATGGCACGGACGTCCTTGAGTGATGATCTGAACCGAGAGTTGATCAGAACGTAATCCAATACAGCTGAGTCCTTTTCAGATGGATTTCACCATGTGAGTTGATGTTTACGAGGATGTTGAAACAGACTATTTCCCACGATCAGGTTATTAGCCATTGCAAAGGACAAGAGACGTAAGCCGTTGTCATTGATTTTGCCATGACCAAATTTGCCCATCACTGTTTCTCATCCATTTCTATTCATACCGATGTGGGCATTGAAGTCTCCAGCCAAGACGATCGCCTCAGTTTGTGGGATCGAGTCGAATGCGTGTTGAAGCTGGTTGTAGAAGTCGTCCTTCTTTGGGTCAGGACTGGTCTCGGTTGGTGCGTAGATAGCGACGATGTGTGTCTTGATGGTGCCATCGATGGTGAGGATCGCTAGACGGTCAGATATCGGTTGGAAAGCGATTACACTTTTGGCAGCTTGACTGTTCACCATAAATCCAACACCGGCTTCTCGCTTTTGTCCTCGAGAGTAATACAGCATCATTGTGTCATCGGCTGGTGTATGTTGGATTGTCGTTGTCCCAGATCCCGTGATTCTTAGTTCAGTTAGCGCTGCAATTGATACTTTGCACCTGGATAGCTCACGTGCGATGATTTCCTTTTGCCCAACATAGTGTCTCGTCCGTACGTTCCACGCGGCTATTTTTACTTCCGCTCGTGTCGTGATTAGTTTCTTTTCTCTTTCCCCCTTTCTTTGGCCAGTAGCCAACTTCTCACCAGCATCCTGGATCCCCAATGCTGGCGCATCGGCTGCCCCGAATGCGGTAGCATGAGCGGTTGATTTAAGTTTGGATTTCATTGGTTTCATACCTGTTTTCGCCGGTTTCCCGGTTCTGGCCGCCTCGGCAGTGTGACCACCCTCCTCCTTTTGCAGCCGGGCTTGGGATCGTCCTTGGCGGAGTTAAGAGAACTAATATATGAAAGAAAGTAAAAAAAGAGAGAATGATCGAGAATGTTTATGTAATACAAAACTTCAAAAACTATTAACGAAGGTATGGGTGACATTGAGATCTAAATGTGCTACCTTCACGTATACTCAGAACTTCAGATTCTACAGCATCAATAATATCATTCACGGCAATAAAAATCATAATAGAACTAATGTTAACTACACTGCTCATGTGAACTACAACCACTATTTAACCCTTTATCCCCTAGTGGGTCATTTTTTATGCATTTATAGAAAATCTCCATTTGAGCTACTTATATATGCAATTAAGACGATTTTAACCCTTTCTTGCCCTCTGGGCGCTATAGCGCCCACTTTATAAAAATTTGGTTTTTCTGAACTAGAGGGCATTTAACGAGGATCCTTGTATCACCCTTAACAGTAACTATCATGAATCGGCGAACAAGAATCTTAGTCTAACCTTTATCTCTAATTACTTTTTCATGTTTTTCCTACTTTGTTGTGAATCTCAGAAATTTCTTTCAATAAAAAGTAACCTATGTATCACATGCTCAATAAATGGCTT